AACTCACTATCATTTGTTTACTTGTTTTCCTGAGAAACTATCTTATAGATAACAATATGTAAAACAATAACCATTGATAATTTTCTACCACTTTGTCTGTAATTTGGTAAGCCCCTCCTATTATTATGTTATCCTTCTTTTACTCTTTAAAAAAAAAAGAAGTACCAATAAAAAAAAGGTCAACACAAGAATGGATAAGATGGAGAATTTTACCAGAGAACCGGAACTGACAAAGTAGAATAAAATGGGGCACCCAGAGCTGAAAAACATGATGATAGCAATTAAGAACTCAGTAGGGGAGTTAAGCAATCGTAATGCACGGCAGAAAGGTTGTGTAGTGACTTGGAGGAGAGATAGGTAAGAAATACCAGACAGAGCAGCCCAGAAGGAGAGAAAAGATGCTTTTCTCAAACTTAACAGACACATGGGAAAACAATAAAAAATCTAAAATATGTGAAATCAGAATCCTAGATGGATAGATAAGAGAAAGTATGGAAGAAGAAACATATGGAGAAATAGATGCTGAGAGTTTCTTAACATGAGCGGATTTAGAAGACTTGGCTACTGCACTTTGAAAGATGCCAGAGAGGATGAGCTTACTCATGGCCAATGCCGTGAACTCCCATGGCAGCTCATGGGGCAGCACTAGGCCCGACCGAGTGATCTCCCTACTCACTCTACCCACCTGAGATGAGTGTACCACCACCAAGCAGGAAATCGAGGCTGCAGGTGGATTCCCAGTCCCCGGCACCAGCCGCTGTTACTGGGACAGAACCCAGATCTGGGACCAAACAGACTCTGCTACTCATCTCTTTACTGCTCTCCTTCAGGGCCATATGTTTATCCTATGTACTCCTGATGCCTTCCTGGGATAATCCCCACAGAGACAAATGAGAATTCCGGTGGGGATGGGAGGCTTGGGGGAGGCAGCTCCAGGAAGGGCTCTGGATGGCACCTCCCTGGTGCCCACAGGCAGGCATGAGGCACGAGAGTGTGACAGCGAGGAGTGGGGCAGCAGCAGATGGGAGGAGGCTCCGGGGAGAGTGGAAGCACACACGGTCCTTTCAATGGTTTTGTTTTCTGACAGCTGGTCTTACGCTCAGGAAGAATCAAGTCTTTTCCGCCTCCCACCCCTCACCACCCGCACGACCTCCCCATCCCCCCAGCACTCTGAGCTCTGCTGTGTCTGGTTCAGCCACATTGTGGTTAAATAGGGTCTCCTGACCTGGTGGGGCAGGGCTGCCTTCCCTCTGCAGCACAGCTTCTGGGGCACCATGTGTTCTCATCTGACAGCCCACTTACAATCGACCTCAGAACACAATTCATCCTCAAGTTAGGGTCTGCCGTACGCAAGAAGTTAAATAATAGCACCAGATGGCGACTTCAGCCTTGTCACAAAGGTGGACATGAGTAATCACCGAGGGGGCACGGGAAACCTGGGGCCATCGAGTTGTAAAGAGACAGATATGCACTCTTGCAGGTGGCGGGTGGGTTGGTGTTTTCCTGGGGCCCCTGCAAGCTCCAGAGCAGCTCGGAGGCACAGTGGGGTTCTGACAGACCCAGTGAGGGCGGTCAGGAACAGCGGTCACGGCGGTACAAGGACACACGGGCAGGAAGAGCATGGCACTTACTCCACCTCTGGGGAACCTGGGGACGTCCTCTTGGAGCCTTAGGTGCTGTCACCTTGGGTTTTGATTGGATGTCGCAGAAGGGGGCTCTGGAGTCGCACGGGCAGCACTTGCTTTGCTGCTGAGTGCACTGTGGAAGCCGTCAGCAGCCATCCTGGGCCTTTCTCCACTCTTGCCCCAGGAGCTTAGTTCCTTCACTGCACGCCGCAGCCAGGTCTCCTGTTCAGGTTAGTGTGGCTCCAGGAACATTTCTGAGGCCCAGTCAGGTGCCAGGCCCTGTGCCACATGCTGAGGAGGCAGAGGAGAGTAAGAGGCAGCCCGGCCCTGAGCCTCACGGGAAGAGAACAGAGCCTCAAGAGAGCAACACTGCCAGGTGAGCGCTGGGCCAGGGAAGCCAGGCGCGGGGTCTGAGCAGGAAAGGAGAGAAGCCCTGCGACCAGACCAGGCAGCCTGCGTGTCGGTATTCCCATGGAGCAGGCCCCTGACCCTCTTCCACCTGGACTATCACCCACATTTGGAGAAGCCATGCTGTGCAGTATTCAGAGCTGGGGGAAAGGGAGCCGAGCTGGACCAGTTCCAGCCTCAAGAATTTGCGTTTGGGTTCCCACGTCGACCAGCATGGATCCATCTTATCTAAGTCTCAGTTTCCTCATCTGTAAGATCGAGACAAAGATAGCTTTGCTACCACGTTGCATATAATGAGTGAGTTAGGGGTGTAATACCCACAAACTTGGTCAGTGGCACCTAAAATAAAACAGGAACCTCATAAAAATCACAGCATTGTGTCTTAGTTTAAGCTTCTATAACCAAAATACCATAGACTGGGTGGTGTCAACAGCAGATATCCATTTTTCCATAGTTCAGGAGGATCAGAAGCCTAAGGTCCATGTGCTGGCCAGCTGAGCTCCTAGTGCACACATAGTCACCTTCTTGCTGCATTCTCCCACGGCAGAGAGAAAGGAAGCTTTCTTGTGTCTCTTCTCATGAGGGCACTAATTCCACCATGAGGGCTCTACCCTCCACGACATAACCAGCTCCCAAAGCTCATCGGCAAATGCCATCACACTGGGGATTAGGGTTTCAACATATGAATTTGGGGAGTGGCACAAACATTCAGCCCAAAGCACTCTGTTTTACACACATGAATGTTTAAAAACATAGCTACTACAAATAACTATGGTGCTTTATCTAGAACAAGACCTGAAGGTTGCTTGTGAAAGTGGGTGTGTTGCAGCTGATGAATTATTGAGAAGGGTAGAAGGAAGGTCATCCAAAAAGGATGAAAGTTGTAGCACCAGATGCCAATGGGTGTGGCTCCTGGTACAAGGCAGCTGAGATGGCTGGTAGACACATCCATGTCTTGTATATTCCTATGCAGTTCATTTCAGGTGGGCACCATGTTCTGTATTCACCTAGTTATGTGTGTGTGTGGACAAAACATATATGGATAAATAGAACATTCACAGTATGCTCAGATTGTTCCTTAATAGATCAACTGTGTTGCAACAAATTCTTATTTTAAAAGTGGTTATTATAGCAGAACAGCATATTCTAACTACCTCACAGGATGTCATGAAAATTAAATAATTTATCTAAGTGTTGAACCCAGGACCCCATGGTGGTAAAGGACTCTTGCTAGTGTAACAAGCACCAGATTGTTATATTTCAAAGGTTGAATCAATACATGCAAGAAAGCCTAATGATGGAGTAGGGTATGGTGGTGTAAGACGTGTATGTGCAGGGGATGATTTATCTTGCTGATTATATTTTGCAAAAAGAAACTTACTTGAGAAATACATGATTCTAGAGCCCAGGAACAGGCTCTTCCGTGTCCTGTGACCAAGAGGACAGCCTGCATATCTGCCTTGCCCCAGGGCATAAACGCAGTGCAGAGACGGATCTGCCCACTTCTGCACAAGCCTCATGGACTAGTACTTACTCATTATAATTTATAGACCAGAAATTAGCAACTCTTCTCTTATCTTCTCATGCTATCAACAGAGGTCACTTGGTGTTATTCAGCTCTCAGATGGGTCAAGCCGGAGGATGTGAAATAACTTCATTCCCATCTGTCGCCTTGATGGAATGACAAGAAAGTCAGTCTCAGCTGAGGGTGGCAACTGGGACATGTACATGTCACCTCTCCTGGTCCCAAGAGCCAGGAAATAGAAACTGCCAGGTTTCTTCTTACCAGCCTTGATATTTCCAGAACAATAGCTCTGCTGCATTACTCAAGCATGTCACTAAGCTCATCCCAGATTCAAGGGCACAAGAGCTAGGTTGCCGCTCAGTGGGAGTACAAAGACGTTGGGCCACGCTCTTCTTCTCTCAGCTCTAGTTAAGCTTTAGGAAACCAGAGCGCGGCTTTCTGCTGAGGTTACCTTCCTGGGTCTCCCCACTGCGTGCTGTGCGTGTGTCTGCTCCGATGTGTAGCACCATGCATGTGTGTACCTGCTGCTCTATCCAGTGCTGCCCACGGGGTGGGGGCTAGGATTCAACTGGGGATTTGTAGCATCCTTGTAGTCTCTGGCACATGAGAGGCCCCTAATAAACCTCGAGTTGATGGGTGAATAAGTAAACTAACTAACAAATGGCAAAGCACCTCCTCTGCCTCTTGTGCTGAGCGATGCTTCCAGAGCAGAGCTGCGGCTGTGCCCTCTGTCTCCTGGCCCAGAGCACGCTGCCCGACTCGACGCCAAAGCTGTACCAGTACTGGCTGAAAAACCAAACACACACTCGGGTACTTGAACCCCGCTGGCCTGCGCTGGCTGCGGTGACGAGGACGTCCTCAGCTTTAGCCTGAAGCTGGGGCCAGCAGTACAGCAACCACAGCCTGAGTGTTGTGTGGTCTGGTGGACCGGACCGGGAATTAGAGCCGGTGGCTGCCGAGGGTACTGAGCAAAAGGGGCAAATCGAAACCGGGCTGGGCGCGGGGGCAGACAGGCACTAGGAGTTAGGGCCTCGGGCCGTGGCTGTCAGGGAGACAGCACAGGTGAAGGCAGAGGGGGCTCATTGTCTGTGCTCACCCCTGTTTACCAGGCACAAGAGAGAAACAGCTTTGGGGTCAAGTGGGAGAGCCTGAGAGAGCAGAACTGGCCGCAGAAGCGGACGCACACGTGCAGATGCTGTTAGGGACCAGGCGCCGTGAACCAGGTGTTGACTGAGCACCTATTTTTAGTCTGATTCAATCTAGCATTTGGATGAGACATGTGCTATTTATAGGGAGTGACGCGTGGAGGCTGGGGTGTTGGAGCGGGGAGGCTGCTCAGTTCCCAGGTCAGGCTGGGTGGCAGCGGGTGGGCCTCTGACAATTACCCCGACAAGGGCTGAGAGCTTCTGTGCAGAATCGCGCCGCAGGAGCACGCTGAATCAAGGCGCGGCTCCCCAGCCTCTGTGCGGTAAGGAGGCCCAGGACAAGGACCGTGCTAGAGACCCAGGCCTTTGTCCTGCTGGGCCTAAGCCTTCAGGAAAGAAGGGGAGAAGTGGTTCGTCCCAGCTGGGTGACCCCTTCCTCACGCAGGCCTTTGGTATCTTCCGCTGGACACAAAGGAGCCGCGTGCATAGGCCTCTCCGGGCCGGGCAGGGGTGAAGGGAGCTGAGCTCGGCGCCTGATTCCTGGAAACCCAGGGAGGCCGCTGCTGGCGGGAGGGACTTTCTCCGGAACAGATTGAAGGCGCGCACGCTGGCTGCCATGAAAGAGCCCGAGCGACGGAGCCCCAGGCTGGGCTGGAGCGGGGCCGAGGCCCGCAGAGCCGCGCCAGCCCTGAGCTACCACGGACCTCCCTGGGGACAGCTTCTGCAAACAGAACCAACAACAAAGAAGACAGGGTGGAGCCCGCAGACCTGACAAGACCGCGCTGCTGGGGCCTGGGGTGCCGGGGTGGGGGTGGGGCCGGCCATGGGATGCAGGGTGCAGCTGGAGCTCCCCGCCCCCTCAGGGCGCTGGAACCCGGGGGTCACGCTGGTCTCAGGGACACAGGCTCCTCCGGGAGGACCGGGCCCCACACACCGACTTCGGGCTGTGGATGCAGCCATCTCCACAGGCGTCTGGAAAGTGCTGAGCTGGGCGCTCCCTGGCACGGTGCCTGCCCTCCAGTCAGCTGGCCCGCCCCGCCCGGGCGCAGAAGCGGTGACGTTCTGAATTGGACGTGCCCCTTTTCTGTTTGTGAGCTGTCAGACTGCTCACGGGGACCCCAGTCTGCCTGCCGTCTGCTGGCCCGGCGACGAAGGCTGCCAGGTTTTCAGGCCCAGGTGGCCGAGGCTGCTGAGCTGGGCCTGGGCCTGAAGGCTCCGACGCAGCTTGGAGTTGTCCCAGGGCAGGGGTGACAGGGAGGAGAGAACTGCTAGCACAGAGTAATTCCAGTGGAAGCAAACCACCGAAGTTCTCTGTCCTTTGTCGTCTTTAATTCATCAGTCGCGAAGAGGAGAGTGGAGATAGGTATTTTCTGAAGGCGTTGTGGCTGTCACCGTGTCAGCGTGAGCGGTCCGTCACTCTGAGTGCACACAGCGCCATGGCACTGCAGCGCGGCTGGCTTGCTATGTGACACCGTGCCAGCTCGGGTCTTGCCCGCCTCCCAAGGGCCAGGGACAGGAAATGTCAGGCTGGTCTCCTGGGCTTCCCTCCTGTCCCCGTTCCCGGGAGGGGAGGCCAGGCTCCCCAGAGCCTGCCCACTTGGAGTGGCTCCCTGGCTGTCTGCTGTTTACCCTGTTTCCAATGGCTGCTCCTAAAGGGGAAGCGGTCCTCTGTCCCTGCAGGCGGCACCAAGGGAGAGGGAGGAAGAGGCAGGCAGGAACATCCAAGCCTGCGACTTCCCTCTTCAGAGGCGGGAGGCAGGGGACAGGCACCCTCCCAGACAGCCTTTTCTTTCAGGGGGGCAACGTCACAACGATTTTCCTGTATGCTTGTGCCCCTGCTGCGTGTGGCAGCATTTCCTGTTGGGTGATGCACACACCTGCTTCTCGGGAGATTTACGGACATTGGGAGCTCCTTTTTTCGCCTTGGTGGGAATGGCTGGGCCTGGAACTTTCTGTGCTGTTTCTATAAAACCGCCAGACGCTTACTGAACAATGACCCTGTATGTGTGCAGGCTCTGCTCCTGTTGCTCCCATCTCTCTTCCCCGAAGAAAGCCCTTCTGTTCTTTCTTCCTCTCATCTTTTGAATCCCTACCTCAGGGGGGCTATAAGTGGGACCCCAGGCCTGAGACAGATCAATGGGAATCAATTAATTCAGAGTGACAGAGTGTATTCTGTGTGTGTGTGTGTGTGTGCGTGAGAGAGAGAGACAGAGACAGAGAGAGACAGAGAGTGTTTGCTTGCATCTTGCAATCATGTTCTGCTTTGGACCAAGCTTTACTCTTAATCGCTTATTTGAAAAACAAGCTAGAATAGTAGATTGACACAAATGTTGTATTATAAGAGTAACTTAATGGCAATGAATACAACACAAGCCGGTGGGAAATGTCCTCAGACCAAGGATGACATGCACATAAGCCCACCTTGTGCCAGGAGCTGCTGCTGGCAGTTTACACACATGAACTTGTGTCACCCCTGTCCTGAGAGGCAGCACTGTTCCTAGTTACCCCAACTTAGGGTAACAACATCAGGGATGCTCTGAGGAATGTTGGCAAAGGGAGCCTTCCAGGTTTCTAAGAAGTCATTAGCTGTTAGGGCCTTTTGAGGTAACTTGGCACAGTGGGGACGTAACACAAGGCTTTCTGAATGACACGCCATGTGCTTCACTGAAGTCCCTCTCTGCCCGTGGGCCCCACACTGAAACACTTGGGACATCCATGAGAAGAAGCTGCATGTCGTCCGGGCAGAGAAAGACAAAGGGAGAGAGTAAGCAGTGATTAAGCAATGCTTGTTAAAGACCTCACTCCCAAGTGAAATAAAGCCTTTCCATGACAAACAGCACCCTAATTCATGATTACCAAGCCAGTGCTCCAAAAATTCTCAAGGATACCCTAAAAAGAGACAATGACAAAAGATCTAATAAATGAATACACCAGGTAGGGTGAGCAAGTAATTAGAAGAGAAATGTAAGGAATTAGCAACAGCAAAATAAGGTAATGACAGGAATAAGTCAATATGTATTGGTAATAATTCTCAGTGTAAATGGTCTCAATTCTGAAATCAAAATACACAGAATGGCAGAATGGATTAAGGAACAAAATCCAACACTATGCTGTACACAAAACACATGTTACCAAAAAATAAACTCGTAGATTAAAAAAAGCATGGAAAACAACATTGCACGTAACAGGAACCTGAAGCAAGGGCAGGAGTAGCTAACCTATTTTTAGTATTCTTCAAGGCAAAACTGATCAGAAGAGGCGAAGAAAGTCACTACATATTAAGTGAAAAATTGAACTGGAAGAGATAACAATCATAAACATATATGCACTCAACAATGGCCAACCCAACTTTACAAAACAAACAGTACTGCACGTAACAACCAGGTAACATCGACACAGTTACTGTGAGCACTTCCATACCCCGCTGTGGTGGTGGACTGACTGCCAGCTTAAGTGGGGAAAGCCCAGTGTAACTGAATCAGCATGGTTCTGGGTGTGGAAGACCCACTCCAAGGAAGACTGTTGTCAGAACTGGCATACAAGGAGAACAGGAGGGAAGAACTCCGCTGATTTTCACAAAAAAATATAGTAAGATGATGAACTTCAAGGTCCTATAACAAGAACAATCCAAATCCAAACCTAACACAAGGAAGGAAATCACAATGGTCAGAGCAGAAATTAATGAAATTGAAATGAAAGAACAATACAAAAAAATCAATGAATTAACAATCTGATTCTTTAAAAGAATAAGCAAAATAGACAAAAACTTACCCAATCTTATGAAAAAAAGGAAAAACCCAAATCAACACAATTCTAAATTTTCTTTTTTTGGTCTTTTTTTGAGACTGGGTCTCACTGTGCAGTTCAGGCTGAACTTGAGCTCACTTTGTAGCCTAGGTGGGTCTTGAACTCACAACGATCCTCCTGCCTCAGCCTCCTGAGTGCTGGGATTACAGGTGTGCATTACCATTCCTGGCCACAATTCTAAATTTAAAATGGCAAAAATCTCAATGAAGATGCCTGAAATCCAAGCGATTATTAGTAACTACATGAAAACCTATACTCCAATAAATTGGAGAACCCAGACAAAATGAACATATCCTTAGATGTATATGAATTACGAAAAATGACCCAAGAGGATATAAAAACCCTAAAAAATGCAATAACTTGCAATGAAATTGAAGAAAACAAAAACAAAACCCTGCGAACTAAGAAAAGTCAAGGACCTGATGGACTTACTGCTAGATTCTACATCAACTTCAGGGAAGATCTAACATCAATATTCCTCAAATTCTTGAATGAAATTGAACTGGAAGAGCACTTCCAAACTCCTGTCTTGAAGCTGGTGCTACCCTGATTCCAAAATCAGGCAAGGACCAACCGTAACAGACAACTATAGGTCAGTCTCTTTAATGAACATAGATGCAAAAATCTTCAACAAGGTACTGGCAAAAAGAATGCAACAAATTATCAAAAAGTTCATACATCATGACTATGTAAGCCTTATCCCAGTGATGCAAGAATGGTTCAACATACACAAATCAATAAATATTATACATCGCATGAACAGAAGCAAGGACAAAAATCACATGACTATCTCAAGAGACACAGAAAAGGCCTTTGACAAAACCCAACATCCACTCATGATAAAGCCACGAAAGAAAATGGCTATAAAAGGACCTTATTTCGATCTGATTAAGGGCATTTATGACAAATCAATTGTAAGCATCATATTAAATGCAGACAAACTGAAAGCCTTCCCTCTAGAATCAGGAGCAAAACAAGAATGTTTACCAATTCGGCTCCTTTCAATATAGTACTCAAAACATTAGCCAGAGCAACCAGGAAAGAGAAAGAAATAAAATGAATATGTATAGTAAAGGAAAAGGTCAAATTATCATTATTTGCAGACAACACGATCTTCTACATAGAAGACAATAAATTCTAGCAAAAGACTTGTAGAATTAATAACAAATTCAGTAGTATAACAAGATACAAAAATCAATAGCATTCTTGTACACCAGTAATAAACTCAGTAAGAAAGAAATTAGTAAAACAATACCATGGTCAACCTTAGAAAGTAACTTAACCAAAGAATAAAAGACCGCTACAACAAAAAATACAGTGCTCTGAAAAAAATGAGATTGATGATGACATCAGAAAATGGAAAGATATCCTCTATTCCTGGATAGGCAGAGCTAATACAATCAAAATGGCTATATATTCCAAAACTATTATGAAGATTTAATGCAATCACAATAAAAATACCAATAGTATTCCTTGTAGAACTAGAGAGAACAATTCTAAAATTCATATGGATCCAAAAGATACCTAGAATAACAAAAGCAATCCTGGAAGGCAAGAGCAAAGCAGGAGGCATTACAATCCTATATTTCAAATTATATTACAAAACCAGAGAGATTTTTAAAAAACAGCATAGTACTGGCACAAAGACAGACACAAGACACAATGGAATAGAATAGAGGATGTAGAATTAACCCCAGGTACATTTAACTATCTGATCTTTGACAAAGAGACCAAAATTATACACTAGAGGAAAGATAGCCTGTTTAATAAATGGTGCTGGGAAAACTGGCTATTCATGTGCAGAAGAAGTGACTCTACACCCATATCTCTCACCATGCACTAAACTAAAATCAAAATTGCTCCAAGATTTAAATGTTAAAACAGAAACAATCTGGTGGAAGATAAAATAGGTAGAACTCTTAAAGACATAGGGCTAGGCAAGGATTTTCTGAACAAAATCCCAACAGCAGAAAATATAACATCAAGAATCAACAAATGAGATCACATCAAAGGAAACAACCCACAGTGACAATCTACAGAAGGAAAAAAATTGCCAGTTATTCCTTAGACAAAGGACTACTATCTCGAATAAAGAATTAAAGAACTAAAATAATTAGACCCCCAAAATAAAAGACCCAATCAAAAATGGGCAAATTAAATGAACAGACACTTCTCAGAATACAAATCACCAATAAATATATGAAAAAAAATTTCAACATCTGTGCCCTTTAGAGAAAGGCAAATTAAAACAACACTGAGATTCTACCTTACTCCAGAAAGAATGGCTATTATCAAGAAATCGAGTAACAACAAATTCTGGTGAGGCTGTGTGTGTGTGGAGGAACTTTCTACATTGTTAGTGGAAATGTAAACTAGCACAAACACTATGGAAATCAGTATGGAGATTTCTCATAAAACTAAAAGTAGAAATTTCCCTTGACCCAGCCACACTTTTCCAGAGGCATCTTCCAGAAAGACTTAAACACATCATATTACAGAGATACATGCATACCTGTGTTTACAGTAGCACAATTTACAATAGCTAAATCTTGGAAACTGCCTGTATATCCACCAAGAGATGAATGGATAGAGAAAATGTGGGATCTGTACACAGCAGAGCACTGCTCTGCAATAAAGAAAGGTAAACACGAGTCATGTGTAGGAAAGTGGATGCACCTCAAGACCGTGATGTTAGGTGAAATCAATCAGACACACAAACTTAAATATTGGATGGTTTCTCTTATATGAGAAACCCAAAATATAAACAAACAGCAAAATTAAAGCTTGACCATATGAAACAGGCAGATATTTGCAAAAGGGAAGGAGACCAAGGTGTGGAGGGAGAGGATGGGAAGGGCACGAGAAAAGGAAGTAACATGTGTTGTACACGCACATCAGCTCCCTGGGAGGAATGCAGTCATTACGGTCTGCAAATGTGCATGAGTAAAAATAAAAGCCTAATTTAAAAAGCAAGAAAATGAATGAATCTGGAGATCATTATGTTAAGCAAAGTAAGTTGTACTCAGAAAGACAATTGGGATGGGGGAAAGGAGAAAAGAAGGAAGGGAAAATATATATATATACACATACAAGATAGCTAAGATAATTGTACTACTAATTTCTATTAGTTCATTGAAAGGGACAGTTAATGCTTATATTGTTTGATCAATTTTGCATGCCTATATTTGG